AAAAAAAAAAAAAAAAAAAAAAATCATATACATACATATATACATACATATTATCTTTAGTCGCGGCAAATTCTGGGTCGTCAGCTGTCGTCACGCACAGAGCTCAATCCCATTTTTCTGGCAGCTCTCTGTGCCACTGAAAAACCTCAGCCATTCCATTAAACCCCAAACCTCTTCACTCCCACCATTTTTGAGTGCAACAAAGCTTTCACCAAGCCATGCTTCTTCAAATGGCCTTTTCCGGCCCTTCCCTCCTCCATCCTTCTTCTGCTTACAGACTCAATCCCCTTATCTTTACCAAACGCCGGCGTTCTTTTGGCCTCTCCCGCTTCCATTTCCGTCGTCTACTGCACAGACAATTAGCTGGTATTCTATCTCTTTCTATCGCTTTTGGTTTCTTTTATGGGTAGCACCAATGGGTTCTCATGAATTTATGTTCCTATGGCTTTTAGAGGGCAAATTGGATTCATTATTTGCAAGAGATATTATATTCTATTCGTTGTGGGAAATTTCGTTTTGTTATTTGGCATTGGGTGTTCATGATTCTTTGTGTGAATGCCGTAAATTGGAGATGAAACAATTTCAATTTTATTGGTTGGGAATTGTTCGTTTTGCTCGAGAATTGTGATTAAGCACTTGATTGAGATGGAAGGAACAATTTCCTTTTGTTTGGATTCTTAATCACGGGTTTAATAACTTATAATTAGTAGGAATGATTCTTAATCTTGATTATTGACAATTGCTAGAATTAGACTCGATAGACGAAGGATCACATTCATTTTCATGTGTGTATATTCATCCGTAGTTCATTGAATTTTCAGTTGCCGCATCAGCGAATGGTGTTTTTACTTCTCCAGAGATAGCAAAGACGTTCGACTTTGCTTCGGAAGAGCGAATATATCGATGGTAATTAATACCATGTCAAATATCTTGCAGCATTTGATACTATGATTTCTTCTCTTCTTGATAAATATATTATTCACGTGTTCATTTGGGCTCATTGATCGACAAATTGCTGTCTTGTGTTACTTTATGGATTTGTATTGTATCAAACTTGATTCCACATACTCATCCTCATGGTGATTTATTTTATACAAATATGAGGAAATGCTGTCATTTGTTTCTATGTTATGTATCGATTATTTTGTTTGGTTTAACATGACTCGATTACGGTTCTTGACGTAGATGGTAACCGCCTTCAGTTGTTACAAAAGTGAACCAAATGGACTTTTCAGTCGTGGGTCCGAAGCACTGTGGTTACCTACATAAGATATTTGTTTCTTTTAATGTGCTAAATTAACTACATTTTCTTTTTTTATTTTAATTTTTTGGCAAGGGAAATGCTTACCTCTTACTCTCTATGTATCTCGTACGCCTTTACTTTTAAATCTTTGTTACTGAGATTCACTTTACTGTGAGAAGGAAAAAAGAACAATTCTGTTCACTTACATAAGATCGTTTGATGCTTTCTCTTCGCCTCGTTAGGTGGGAATCTCAAGGTTATTTCAGGCCACATTTTGATCAAGATAGTGTTCCGTTTGTGATTTCAATGCCACCTCCCAATGTCACAGGATCACTGCACATGGGACATGCGATGTTTGTGACTCTTGAGGTTGTGAAATTATGAGCTAGGTGGTTGCCTGTATCAGATCATGAATTTTATTTCTGCATATTTTGTTATTTTTTTTCTCACGAAGCTCATGACTCGATAGAAGAATGTTTCTTCATTATATAATGCTGATTTTATGCTTGCCCGTTTGAATTTAGATGGAAGTATAATTGGTTCCTAACTATATGCTTGCTTATTTTCCTAGTGTCCTCACTCCTAACAGAAGAGTAAAATCAGATTTAAGATAAGAAGTTGACATGAAAGACAATCCTAGTTTTCTCATAGCCCATTATTTTTACCATTACTGTTTACCTAATAGTTTATGCCCACATTCGGCGCTAACAGAAAATTACAGTGAAAGAAAATCCCTGTTACGATGACTGTTTACTTGTCTTAGAAGCATTCTTCCATTTTTGTCTGTGTTATCTTTGCCATAGTTACCTCTCATTCAATGCTATTGGTTTCCCCTGCCAGGATATTATGGTTAGATACAACCGTATGAAGGGCAGACCGACACTCTGGCTTCCCGGGACTGATCATGCAGGTATTGCCACGCAGGTTTGTCTCTAAATGTTAGCCAGCAGGCTGGTCTCTCTATTTTTATTCATAGTATTGCATCAACACATAAGACAAGCCAAAATATGCAAGTAGTTTCACCCTTCAATGCAGGAGGAATTTCTCCTTATTTGTATGAAGTCCTATCTAAGTCAGCGAGGGAATATAGTTCGTTTTCCTCTTTTCCACTGTTTGTATTTAAGTGTGATTTTGAGACACGTTCTCTTGCATTTCTTTGCAGTTGGTTGTTGAAAGAATGCTTGCGTCTGAAGGAATAAAAAGGGTTGAATTGGGCAGAGATGAATTTACAAAGCGAGTTTGGGAGTGGAAAGAGAAGTATACCATCTTGCACGATTTAATTTGTTTGTTATTTATATTGGCCTTGAAGTTTGCTGGCAAATGTAGGATAAATATAGTGATTAGTAACCAAGCATACCAAGAAAATTCATAGCTTTGTAAATTTTGAGAATTTTATCTTATCATATTTGGTCCTAAATCTTGTATCTCCATTCTCTGCTTGTTTATTATAATCTTAGCACAAATTCAACTTAGTTTAATGACAACTTTTTCGGTGAAGTGGCTGAAGATCCCTTTTTGGGGTATGGAAAAATGGCTGTGGCTTCATATTCTTGAACAAGAACAACGATCCTTTCTTGTTCCTGCAACTATTTCAAAATATTTGTGCTATGAATCTTAATTGTTCACATTTTTAGTTAGCAGTTATCTCATTTAAAATTAATGTTTTTTTTAATTCAAACTTTGAAGGTATGGTGGAACTATCACTAATCAAATTAAGAGACTTGGAGCTTCCTGTGATTGGACTAAAGAGCACTTTACCCTTGATGACCAGCTAAGTCGTAAGAGAGTTTTCCATTTCATTTCTTCTGTAGGCAATAGACATAAAAGAGGGTTATGTTAACTGAGATTTTCTTAACAAATTGCAACTGGGTGGTCTATCATTCTTTTGCTGATATTTGCTATAATTAGGGGACTTCTATGCAATTTGATGTTCTTTTGATTGAAGGTTTGTAATGTTTTTTTCCCCTTCATTTGATTTCTTATGTGTGTTTGTATTTTTTAACATACTTGTAACTTTTAACGTATCTTCGAAAAGGTTTCTTTTTTTTTTTAAAAAAAGAAAATGATTATTAGTTACAAATTTGCTCCTTGATTTGAGCATAGTTTCAATTTGGTCTCTGTGATTTTGAAGTTTCAATTTAGCTCCTTATAGGTTGAGCTTTATTTCAATTTGATCCCATGGTTTTAAAAGGCTGAATTTGTTATCTACGATTTGGTTAAACTTCACAAATCGTCTCCAAACTACTTAAACCTTAGTAACCAAATATTTAGCCAAAGCCATCAGGACCAAATTGAAACTATGTCAAAATCATAGGACCAAATTTGTAATTGTTTTTTGAATCACCAAATTTATAATTTAGCTAAGAATAACGTTAACAAAAAGATCAAAGAAGTATAAAAGAAAAGCCTGTGTGAGGGAACCAAGGGCTGATAGATCAATTTTTAGTATTAAGGAGAACAAACTTCGAGACTTTAAGGAGATA